CAGGAATATAGAGACCTGTGTCTTCCCTACTGAATTTCTTTTCCATTTAGTAACTTTTTCTTCATTCTTTGCATTCTCACTTTGCTTTCTTCTCATGCTGTATAGCTATTCTTCAATTTTCCCATTACTTTTTCATCAAAGCTTATACACAGTTTATCCCTGACATTTTGATTACTTTCTCACACATCCTCTCTCCTATATGGAGGTCTTAGCCAGAATTTTTGTCCATACTAAAATAACTGAATTTGGGACTTAGAGACAGTGTTTTCCAAATATAAGGACAGAATATTTAATAATTATTTCAAAGACCGTATTTCTCCATATGCCTTCTGATATGTCATGTGTATAATGAAACTTTGATTTAAAGTATCTCCGTGTTTTCTTCCCACTGTCTTGGACGCCACTTGTAAATATTACTCAAAAAATACCAGGATTACTCAGAGGCCTGCCAAGTAATCAGCAGTTTCTGTATGTGCACCAACTTGCTGCATTCTTAAAACATAACATCAAAGCCAAATCTACCATATCATATTTAAAACAAAAAAAAAGGTTAGGTTTTTTTCTGCTCAGCAGACATTGCTTCACATTTTTATTAGTAACATTTATAACTGTTACCTCTATGTTTTTGAATCCAGAAAATTGAATCCCTTATTTCCTTGAACGGCATTAACATTAAAGAATAGGCTTAAATTAATCATCTTCTATTAGGTGACAAATAATACCCTGAGCTTTGTCTTGTTCTTACATCAGTCACTGGCAAAAATTTCACTGATTCTCACAGTAGTCAATACATCCTGATGCAAGGGCTCCTTAAAAGTCATCTAAGCCTTTCAAATAGTGCTTAATAAGAACTTAAGTTGATGTGAAGTCTCATTGCCAGTCCCCAGGATGGAGTAGATTGCAAACGTTGAGAATTAAAGCCAGTTGCCTTATAAGTAGCAGGGAAAATTTATGGGAGATATTTTTGGAAGCATGATTTTCTGGTTTGGTTTTTTTTTTTCTTTTTCATATTTGTTTAAGCCAAGCAAATGAATCTGTAATTTTATTTACTTTTTATATGTTAGGTTCTGTTCTTCACTAAGAACAAATAATGTGTAAACTAATGCACCTTACTAATTCATTTTTCAGCACCCTTCATTTATCTCAACCATGGAGATTTCTCAGAAGCAGGTAATCACAAGCTCGTTTAATTACTGCAGGATATATGGTACACTGAACACTTAGCTTGCTATTTTCAGGTGATGCCTGTTGCTTAATGGCCAAGCTTTCCATGGATGACTCTTAAAACACATCTGGAAAGAAGGAGATATGTTTGAACTTGTTTGCCTTTCTAATTCACATTTGCTTACAAACAGTAATTTGTGTACCCAAGTTGGTAATTATTCATGGAAACAAATCCTTAGTCATGTGGTAGTGGGATTTGTGAATGAAGTTAATGCACATTCGTTTTCCGGATGTTAGAAATACTTGTCTCTTTACAATATAGCAATAAATTATTATTGCTATTATTGTTGTTATTTTTATTAGTAGTCAGGAGAGATCAGGGCCCCATTGTGCTAAAGGTTGTGTGCACACAGACTGAAAACCACTCTCCCTTCTCTAAAATTGCAGTCTAAACTTGTGTGGTCCAATCCTGGCAGCCACCGGAGCCAGTCCCAGTTGGGAATCTCCTGATGGGAATCAATTTTATGGCATCTCCAAGCTCTATGATGGCTATGTGCACATTCAGGAGGCAGCATGACACCAGAGCCAACCCTCCCTGCCCCACATAGGTGGCCAGAGCAGCTCCGGCACAACATGCCTCCCTCATGCCGGAGGAGGGATTTTGCCGTTCAGGCACGCACAGCACAGCTGGGTCCCATCTCTCCTGAAAAAAGGTGGCAGGCCAGCTGGAAGTGTTGCATGATCCAGTTCTGGCTCAACAACTAGCGATTGGACCACCCTTGTCTCAACAGGCAATCTGCTCACACATTGGGGAGAGGGGAGTAATATTATCCCCATCCTACCTAAGGATCAGAAGCAAAAGATGAGGTTTTATTCACACAAGGTCATCCCTAGTTCCCAGAGGCTTAATGTTATGGCTATCAAGCCCTTTGCTTTCAAATGTATTATTAAACTATTCTTTCCATGATTTGCTTCTGATTTTTTATTACAGCACGAATCTAAAGGTGTAAGGGTGTTGAGTGCTGGTGTCTTTCCAAGACTGCAGTCTCCTTTCCTCTCTGCTGTGTTGTCAGGGATTGATGGGGACTGACCAGTTCACACTGAACCTTTAGAAACTTTTAACAGTAAAGGAGGTATTTTCTCTCATTTCATAAAATCTAGGGCAAGGTTGAAAGTCTCTGTGGCACTGAAGGAGGGAACTTTTCTAGCAGGCTACTTGGAGAATGCGCCTAATTAATTTGTTTTGCCTGATTTGCAGCAACAATTGTACATTGGTTCCAGGGATGGATTGGTTCAGCTCTCCCTACACAGATGTCACACGTATGGGAAGGCTTGTGCAGATTGCTGCCTTGCCAGAGACCCATACTGTGCCTGGGATGGAAATTCCTGTTCCAGATATGCCCCCACTTCTAAAAGGTAAGAAAAAAATATACAATGTGCTGTAAAAGATCTTGCTGCTTGCAAGAATTGTAGAGGTTCCTAATCAGAACGTGTTGCCTTTTTACTTAGGCATTTGCCTTAAAATTTGATCTTACTCTGAATGTGTTTCACATTTCTGCTGGAAGAGATGTGAGGACAACAAAGCTTTGTTTAAGTGTGTGTGACTGTAACTCGGCTACTGCAGCTAACATAAATCCATCACTTTCCTTTTTTATCTTGAATACTTTAAGGCATGTGATGCTCAGATAAAGGTCCAGGCTGTGGTTAACTCTGCCTGAAATGCAAGAGCCTCTCTTAAGGTTCTGACTTTTGCATAGGGCAAGACTGTAGTTATAAAGCAGAGTTTAATATAGTATCCCAGAGTGGTCAATAATAAAATACATTTAATCCCTTGATCTAAACAAACAATTGTGGATGCCCCCTCCCTGAAAGTGTTCAAGACCAGGTTGGATGGGGCTTTGAGCAACCTGGTCTAGCGGGAGGTGTCCCTGCCCATGGCAGTGGGGCTGGAACTAGATGATCTTTAAGGGCCCTTCCAACCCAAACCATTCTGTGATTCTATGATTTGTGTTCTAGCTATAAGAGGGAGACAGAGATTTAGGTACTGTGATTTAACCACACCAGGAGCAGTTTTTAAACAGCAAAAGAAGCCTCATCTCAACTTTCTATACCCACCAGTCAGGACAACAACATGAATCTGCATGGAGGGAGAGCATGCTGCAGGCTCCAGCAGTGCAGTACCTAAGCTGCTGAATGTGTCTCTTGGAGTTTTTAGCTAATTTAGGCCAAAAGGAGCTCTGACCTCCCTCATTGAGACAGAGTCCGTCACAGCCTCCTAATTCCCCTTTGGATGAAGCCTTCCTGACAGTAATTCATGCAGTAAGGTTGCAGTCTGAGCTCAGGCTCTGGAATAAGTCTTCCTACCTTAGGGGTCGCAGCGCTAGGACCTGAGCAATTAGACAAACCATTGAAGTTAATGACTCATAGGTTATTGTGTCATGGTGTCAAGGAACTTTATGTGTTTTCCCTCAAAGCCAAAGCAAACTAAATTCAGAGAAGCATAAATGAAAGGAGAAAAGCAAGTGTTCAGGCTCACTGCAAAGTTAGTGACACATGAGGCTTGCTGAAGCCTGAGGTGGGATGGGACACAGAGATTGATGGTCCATGCATTTTAACAGATGTGCAATTTGATGGTAAGGCCAAAAGTCTGTGGCTTCAAAACAGAGGACAGGTGCCTGGCCTTGGGAATCCTCCAGCAGATCAGTTACTTCAATATTTTTTGTCAGCACTGTGCTTCCAGCATGTCTACAGCTTTTACGACAGCAGACAGTTTTCCCTCAGGAACCCTCTCTACAGCCAAGGCGTTGCTCTGGACATAGGAGGTCCCAGAATCACAGAATCTCAGGAGTTGGAAGGGACCTCGAAAGATCATCCAGTCCAACCCTCCTGCCAGAGCAGGATCACCTAAACTAGGTCACACAGGAACACATCCAGGAGGGTTTTGAATGTCTCCAGAGAAGGAGACTCCACAACCTCTCTGGGCAGCCTGTTCCAGTGCTCTGTAACCCTCACAGTAAAAAAGTTTTTCCTCATGTTCACATGGAACCTCCTATGTTCCATCTTGCACCCATTGCCCCTTGTCCTGTCATTGGACATCAGAGAGAAGAGCCTGGCTCCTTCCTCCTGACACTCGCCCTTTACAAATGTAGAAACATTAATGAGGTCACCCCTCAGTCTCCTCTTCTCCAAGCTAAAGAGACCCAGCTCCCTCAGCTGCTCCTCATACGGGAGATGCTCCACTCCCTCAATCATCCTTGTGGCCCCGCGCTGGACTCTTTCAAGCAACTCCCTGTCCTTCTTGAAGTGAGGGGCCCAGAATTGAACACAATTCCCACTCCTGTTATCTCCAGTGTGGCTTTGAGGGAGGATTCTGTTCCTCCTTGGGCCTCCAATTCTTCTCCTAAAAAATTAAAATATAAACTTTTTTTGTAGCTCTCTGGAGGTAAATGTAATCACCCACAGAGTTTCCTTTTAAAATAATTTTTAAAAGCCATTAAACTGAAATTATACTACATCACAGTGAGTTTACATAACACACTCAGAGATTACAGGTAAACTAGGTATGGAAGGGAACAGACCATCTCAGACCATTGTCTCAAGATTTTTTTTATCCATAAATCTAAAAGATAATGAGATTTGTCATTTGTTCGTTACCAAACTAAAACATACACTTTTCTCTCTTAATTTTAAATGTTGGCTTACCTGAGGCTGATCCGGAGCTCAATGTTAAGTATCACCCCTTGAACGTCAGATCTTTTCCATGACATACAACATTAAGTATGGTCTTAGATATTTCCGAGATGGTCCACCCCACCAGGATCCCTGTGCCCCATGCTCCTAAAGCAGGTTTAGGTGATCTTTTTGTCACTAAATTGCATGCTCTTTACTCTAGGCAGATTTTTTTTCCCTCTCTCTTTTTCTTTCCCCTCCCAGTGGTTTTCCCAAATCATAGGCCTTTTTCTTGATGTCAACTGTACAAATCTCTCTCGGTCACATGCTGCTTTGAGGGTGAGGCTGGTTTCAGTTAAGACTATAATTGTCAGCGGTAGGGTGGGAGCAACACAAGACCACATCTGCTGAGCTCCTCTGTATTTTGTTGTTGAATTCCAGCAATTATGCCTGAAGTGTTACAAGTTTGCATGTTCTTCCTATAGGCGAGCCAGAAGGCAAGATGTCAAATATGGAGACCCTGTTGCACAATGCTGGGACGTGGAAGACAGTGAGTATTTCGCACCTTTCCTGCTCTTTTGTTGCTTTGACAAAAGAGTTTGCTGTAAGGATCTCTGTCTTTCTGCGAAAACCTGCTGAGCTTGACAGAATAACACCTTTAAAGCAGTTGCCTTTTCTGTACTTCATACACATTACCCTCTTACAGTTAAATCTGGGGATCCAGGGCTGATAAAGGACAGCCTGCATAGGATGGCACCATTGCATCCCTTATGGGTGACCCTCCCAACTGCTCACCCAGGGGAGTGAGCTGGGCCCATGAAGGAAAAACCCCAAACACATCCCTACAAGTAGCTACTGGGACCTGTGCTTATCCAGAAACAGGGAAGATAATCCTGTAAGGAATCCTGCAGGGGTGAACGAGGAACATGCCATCTTCTCCCCATCTGCCGCATACGCTTCACACAAGTCCCAAAGCCCAGTTCCAGATGCCAAACCAGCCCCTTCCCCTCCCCACAGCTACTTAAATACTCCTGTTATTAACAAATGCCTACCCACCCTTCTCCCCATCAGCTCCCCACTCCCTTTCCCACACCCTCTTTTCAGATGCCAAAGGGTCTGGCTTGCTCCTTTGGCAACTGTAGCACTTCCCTTACAGCGAGCATTGTCAGTATGAAATCCTGTGGTTGTGCGGCAGCCTCTGTGGCAGCATAAAATAAATGAAAAGCATTCAAAACCGACCTTGGGTTTGTCTGGGGCTCTTCTAACCACTTATTAAAGTAAACAATCCAGTCAAAACAGTATTGATTGTATCACTGCATTGAATGTTTGATTCGGGACGAGCCACCACTTTCCATTGATCTCTGGTTATTTTTGTACCGCTGCGGTACTGGATGCCTGCCGCAGATCTCAGCTTGAACCACTGCAGAAAACAGAGCTGCTTGCCACAAGATCAAAGACCTAAGTCTGTTGCACAGTATAGAGGACTCTGACTCTATGCGTGCTTGCAGACACAGTTAAAATGTCAAGGTAAAATCTCATTTCCATTAAAGTCGATGACAAAATTCCTGTTCATTCTCAAAGGGACAGAATTTCCCCTCTTGCTTACCATGGCTCTCCAAATAGTGGTATCTGAGACTGTGCAAAGCTCAAGGTTATAGAAACCATAGCAGAAATACTGACAATGTCACATTTTCCTGGAAGAAGAAAGAGATACCGGAAGAGTTGGCTTTACTACAGAAATGTAAAATGACTTAGCACAGAAATTGGTATTAATCCTTTGCACTGATGCAGCACCACTAATAGTAATTTTATCCAGCTGGGGATGACCCCCATGCGCTATAAAACAATGAAGCTGACCTGTGCCACTCCAAGCTCCTGGCTTATTTATGCCATTTGCAATAATTAATAACATTATGGCCCCAAAACCTATTTAAATTCAGTGCTCCACTGTGTGAGATTCCTTTGCAGAGACTTCATTGGCTGCATGAAGTTGTTTGGCTCTACTGAAATCTCAGTGGCACAGTGAAATAAAAGAAAAGCATTTAATGCAGAGAGCTTGAATTTCTATAGATCTCATATAGGTACTTATTCTATTGGAAAAAAAATCCAAAATTATATTCATTTTGTTATCAAGCTAACTTTTGATTTAGGAGACATCACTGTTTTCACCTTCCTTTCTGTTGTTGTCAGGGTGTAAGATACAGCTTTAGTCTGATGGTAAGGCAGATAAGACACTGATAAGACAGGCTGCAAAGGGAAATGGAGATACAGAGATCAGAAATTACTTGCTCAGGTTTTCACAGAAGTCCAAGAAAGGATCCCAGTTGTGCACACAACTACTTCAGTGTTTGTTCTGAAACATACTACAGGGCACTTCAAATTATACCAAAGGAAGGTAAAAGCCCTGTGACTCCTTTAAAGTGTTTGGGATGAACAAACCAAACCCTACAATCTACCTGTAGCAGCTGCTCCATGTCGCTCAGATCTAGTAGTTACATTACTTAAAGGAAAAATACAGGTCAGATTTTAAATTCCTCAAAGGTGAAAGCCTCAACTTTAAAACAGAGCAAGCTTGTGATATCGATTTTATTAACCTCCTTAAAAACCAGTTGCACTGAAGGAAGGTTAGCAGCCGTCTCTAAATCCTCATAGTTATAGTTTAAGCTAAAAGTTAAGTTTCCTTTTGCTTTTTTATAATTCACTCACTCTTATAGCATCTGTTCTGAATCAGTCTATTTTCCCATTGCTTTAAAAACCAGGTCAGGGTTAATCTCCTGTACTGTGTTTGCTTTCCAGGCATTAGTCATGAAACTGCTGATGAAAAGGTGATTTTTGGCATTGAATTTAATTCAACTTTTCTGGAATGTATTCCTAAGTCCCAGCAAGCCTCTATTAGGTGGTATATTCAGCGCTCTGAAGAAGAACATCGAGAAGAGGTAAGTTATAGTCATCAAGGCAAGTTTCCTCTATAGACAATTCAGCTGAGCATTGAAAGGCAGGAGTTATTGGGATTAGTTGATGTTTTACTTTTCCTTGCCTCACCTTAGGTATCATATAGCATTCTGGTATCACCATTTGAGGCATGCAGTGGGGAAGAGAGAAGCCATTTGCACTCCGTCATAAGCAGATTTAGATATTTATTTTGACTTGCATGTGCATTTTATTAGAAAAAGAAAAAAAAAAGAAAAAAGAAGAAAAGATAAGTTCGGCTTTGAACAGTGGTAAAAAATAAAAGTACTGGGAAAAAAAAGTACCTTTTTGTCCAGTAATTAGCACAATAACTTCTTATTTGGATGAAAGTATGTTCAAAACCTTTTGTTTTAATAAAATCTCCTGTTAGTGACCGATTGCCTTCCCTTATTTTGTTAAACAGTGTAGGTAAGAATTGTGCGTATGGCTTGCTGCTTCTCTCCATCTCTCCCCAGAGAAGGAATGGTCTGTGCAGTAAAAACCTTGTTATTTCCTCCTTTCTTGTTAGTGGAGCCTGAGGATTTTTCTTAAAGGGTGCTCTACGCTGATGCAGAGAGGTCAAGTTAAAGAACTGCACCTTGCATCTGTAGTAGAAAGCTGTGAGATTTGTGATGACCCTCAGTTCCTGCAGCAGGCAGGTTTGGGGTCCTCACTGGTGGAGAAGACCTGGAGAAGCCTCCAGGTCCCCACATGCTCCC